CGACCTCAATGGCCTTTTCCTGGCGAGTCACACCTAGAACAAGGATTAAGAAACATGTCTTCAGCTGGTACAGCAGACAAGAGCCAGTAACTAAGACACCCAAACACCTGCAAGACTCCTCCCACCAAAAAAGCAGCAAATCTACGTTCAGGGCTTTATTCTTCCACTGGACTAAAAGACTGAAGTCTTCTAAGAGGAAGGTCCGTGTGGAACAAAATTACAAAGGCAACTGATTTCAATATTGAATCCTTCCCCCAGAGCACCCTGGACCAATACTGCACAGTTAATGCAAATACCTTGTCAAAGGTCAGTTCCTTTTAGACTTTGCTTTCAAGCTCTTCCTATACCTAGACCAACCCTTCTGCTAACCACAGAAGACCCAGGACAAATGGAATCTCTTTTAATTGGTAATTTCATTAATCTGGGAACCCAGATTAAATATTCAATTATTAACATTTCTCAAGATATGACTTCCATACTTATTATAGTTTTTTATTTATACTTCTTTGTACTTTATGTTAAATTGAGCAACCAAGCTCGTGGAAGCCAGCCCTTCAAGTCCACTCCCATGTGTGAGAGGTAGCTTTACTATTTTCCCTAGCTATATATAGACTACTTTTTCAATGGCAAATGCTGTTAGTCACAAGGCAACTAGATGGAAAGGAATGGATCACCATTCAGGACAAATGTATAGCTACCACATTAAGTGACTATGCCACACAGCTGACAATGGCTGTGTGAGCTCTGGGTTATGTTCCTGTAAGAAAGCAGTGCACTTCAGTATGGCTGGAGTAGCAAAGTGTCAGCACAGGAAGGACCAACCTCCCAAACACTGACCTTTAAAGTGAGGAAATTTACTTTAGATTTTCTGGGTTGCTTGGCAACCATAGTACTTAGGAAAAATTAATTATGCAGAGCTAGAAAACACTTGGTAATGGCCACGTAATAGTAAGACTCTGCTTGGGGTAGGCAATGCTCTATACCATACAGCACTCAAGAACTGATTTATCTCCTATAACTTCTTCCTTACGCTCTCTTTGCCCAGTAACTATACCTACCTTCTCCCTTCAGGGCACTTTGTTCTAAAATAATAACCTGCCATATTTTTTTAAACTTCAGTCCAGAACTCTATGTTGAATGCATGAACAGACCGCTTCCTGGCCATCGGCAGTTGGCCAACTTTATGACACAGGAGTACAAACCTCAAGAGTAACTCAATTCCAGGAAAAAAGGGATGCTGAGAAAGCCCATCATCTCACTTTTAGAATTTTGGGCAACTATGCAAATGCACTTTAAAGTCTTGGGACAGAATACAAAAATGAGGAACTCAGTCACCAAGCATCAGGAATAAGGGTTCACAAAACTGCTGTTATACCTGTTCACCCAGAGGCAGGTACTTCAAGGACACTGACACCGTCAGACAAATAAGAGTTCCACTTCTTTATAGTTAATCTGAAGTTACAGCAACACATGAGCCCCTTCTCCAGGCTAGAAAATAATCCAAGTCAAAATTACTAGGTAACACTTATTTTTCTTCAGTCATAAAAATGTTAATGAATCTGACCTTATAACTATGATTAATATGCAAAGAAAATACTGCCTCAGAGAATAACCGAGACACAATAGATGTCACTAAAACAAAATCTCTGAGCAGGCAGAGAGAAGTCCAATGGTACAAAAATATAGAAAGCCAAGAGGTGTTATTAATAGTAAGAAAAATAACTTGGCTAACTTTGCTCCTTACTGTTTAAGTTAACTAACTACTGGAGACAAAAAAATTAAAAAAGTTAAATGAGAGAATAGGTAATGAAATGTTTTAATACACACATGCACTCAGACCTGAATATTTCTAAAAACCACCACAATATGTTAAATTTTATAGAAGAATTTAATCCCTTTGGAAGGATGCTATTTGCTTAGATTTGAGTTTTTATTTGATATTACAGTAGTCCCCACTTCCTCGCAGAGATGCATTCCAAGATCCCCAGTAGATGCCTGAAACGACTGATATATACTGTTTTTTCCTATACATAACATATGCATCTTTTCACTTAAAGGAAGCACTTTACAGCTAGCTTCTCTTTGGCACACCTGAGTTGCCAGCATCACTATTCTTGTGCTTTGGGGCCATTATCAAGTAAAATAAGGGTTACTTGACCACGAGCACTGTGGTACTGCGATGGTCAATCTGATAATGGAGGTGGCTACTAAGCGACTAACGGCACAGAGGGCGGGAGCTCATACAGCGTGGCGCCACGGCCCAAAGGGCTGATGCAAGCCCTGGCCGCAGGGAGCGGGACAACATGAGATACCGTGCGACTCAGGACAACACACAATTTAAAACTTATGGATTGTTTATTTCTGGAATTTTCCATTTATTTTCAGACCACAGTTGCTTGTGGGCAACTAAAACCACAGAAAGCAAAGCCGTGGATAAGGGAGGAATACTGAACAAATTACTAGAAGACAAACTACCAACCCGATCTTACAGCACGAAATTAATTTTGCTACGTATCTTCATTATCTGCACTGACATTTAAAAGAAAAATGAGGATATCCAAAGCTCGAGCAGCAAGCAGGGACCACAGTTTCTTTGACAGCACAGACTCGCCTTTCTATATAAGCAAGAAAATCCAACTTAATTTTCAAACAGCTTCAATCAAATTTCACCCACGCTCTTAAGAGAATTCTATTAGGTTCTCAGACATCTTCAAATGCTCATGTCTCAGAGAACGTCACTGTCTGAAATCCTAAAACCATTCACTTGCCATTGCTTAGTGAAAACACGTAAACCACACCCCTATCTTTTGGATTATAATGGCTAAGTACAAAAACAATTCATTTAACATCTTACGAATCATTACAGTTATATATAAAAGCACCTACAAAATTTTAAAAAATAAAAAATTCACAGTGCACTGAACCTTGGAACATATAAGGATGAAACATAAGAACATTTAAAAAGTGGATTCAAAAACCTATTTCTCTCAAAGACATAAACATAAAGAAGCCAACACAACTATTCATCTAGCTTAAAATGCAGCACACAGAAGTAAATTATTGCATATTCAGCACACTTCTTTATCACTGATTTCTTCAAACCATGCTAAAGTTTCTCAAAGGAGAAATCCAGTTCTGTGCTAAGCATGGCCTTTCTCAAGGAAACCTGAACACTGAGAAACTAATACACAGGTTCGAGGGAATAAGTATAGCAAGATGTACATAAAGCACATACATCCAACTTAAACATTTTCTGCATAGTTTAGTCACATCACACACATAAACTTTACTCACTTCTTTTAACATTTTTTAATCTCAAACTCAAGATAGCTAAAAGCCTCAAATTATCAAACCCCCACCCCAACAACACCCTATTTTGTTCCACAGTGCATTAAGTGAAGCAGCACAACTGCAGTAACATTGAACTACGGTTAAACCACCGTAACTGAAAAGAGAATCTGTTGGTTCTTGAAAGGCTCAACACTATTAGAAGACACACTTTTGATAACTAACTCTAATCTCTTTTGCTTTAATATTGAGAGCTGAAAAATCCAACTCTAGGCACCAGAGAGACTGACCATAGTATAGTACTCACTTAAAAAGAAGAAAACATAAAACACTAAAAATTAATTGGTTTCCAGATGACAGTAAATGAGTAAAAATGATTTAACTGTCAGGCAAACGAAGTTTTCACTCCCTTAACAATTTAACAGAAACCTGGAATGCTGGGACCAACTATAAATATGGCTCAAGGAGACCCAAGCAAAGCAGCTGTATTTCTGGAGAGAAGAGTAAGAACTTCCAAACACAATCATATAACGTCACAGAAGGATTCACAAATTTGTCACATTAAAAGATGCAGGATTGTAAGTAACCTAATGCTAAACACAATGCTGCAATTGTGAATTCTCCTGCTTAGCACCAAGAGTGACAGTTTCATTAATAAATAAACTTTCTCCTTTAAAATTAAGCCATTTAAAAGCTAAAGCAAAGTAATACCAAGCGAATTCCTTACAATAGCATTTCTTTTAAAAGTCCCATGGGTTACATGAACCCCTATTAAATATGCTACCTATACAGAATAAAGATTTCTACAATAAAATTTACAAGCAGAGATATATTTTGTGGATACCACATGTAAAAAACGATTTTTAAAACCCACGACAGATGCACACGCACGCATATGCTCCCACCCCCTCACCCCACACAAATACCTTCATTGATATCAGAAGGAGCCCAAACACTAAAGCCCCCTTAAAGCCCTGGTGATTGTCCTCAATTATAACTGAAATTCTTCTTAAAATGGGTACTGCCATCCTTATTTGGATTTAAGAATCCTGAAAGAGCAAAATACATTCCTAGTTGTGTCTGTTACTTTTCCATCCTGATCCTCCCCTAGAGAGAGGCTTTATCTGTACTGGGTAAACTGCACAGCCCTTCCATTCTTGCTCCATCACCCAGGGGCTTCAGCATGCTAATAAAAGTCAGTCAGTCTCTGCTACTACTGCAAATTGGAACTGAATATAGCATCAGTTTCCACAGATCAACACTGAGATGCAATGTAAAACCTAGTAATATCAGTATTCCACATGTATTTACACAACTGTAATACAGAATGTATCTTCACAAGAACAAAATAATTGTAGACTAAAGGGCTGGCGGCAGGTTGAAGACATAACCAAGGCAGTTGCTGCATCCCGGCCTCTGCGCTCTCTGCTACCCTCTCCAGCAGTCCCACAGGTTTACTGACTGCATGCAGCACAGTGCAAAATTAGAGCAGCAACTCCCCACCCAACCAACTCAGTCCCTATACAGGCTGAGGACTCAGCTCTTAAATGAAGTGCTAAGAGTTCATTTTGAACATTATATTGCAGGTGCTGGCTCTAAATAAAAGCTTTAAACGAAACTTCAAGCAGAGGAGGATTAGAGAACCTAAGTGGTTAAAGTAAATATGCAAAATGCCACCAAAGAAGATGACCTGCAATCTTGACTTCTATGACATTTCAGCTCTTGTGTTTGGTTTGCTTAATAAATTATGTATTTTGTTCCTTTTAAAATTTCAATGTAAGGAAACTATTATTGCAATCACTAAAGTGTATGGACAGAGCATGTCCATTAACTTGATGATAAACACTATTTTCTTGATCAGAATATAAAATAAAAGCCACAATCACAGGAAAAAATGCCCTCATAAAAAGCAACTCAAATTCATTGGCCAAATACTGAAAAGGTACATCTGTATAAAAGGTTATAAAACTGCATTTACAGTCCAAATTCATGTTTCTTTCCACTCTCTCTCCTGCACAGAGAACAATCTCTTCAGAAACATCATTGCCTCCCTGCATTTCTTTAAAACACCTGAGAAAGGTAAGGCTCAGAGAGACACCCACTCAAATGCAACAGGTCTCTGATCTTGCAGATGCTTCCACAACACATCTGCTGCTATCAAAGGTCCAAGATTTTCATTATAGCATTATGGTCAAACTTGAAACTCAAAAAGGCTCTGGATGAAAAGGGGAACTTGTAATGTCCATTACATGCCACAGTCTGTCCCTCAGCATGTTCTAGCAACTGGTCTTCACCAGAGTAAGGTAAGTCATATGCAGCATCTGTGTAAAACACAAAAAATAAGCTCAGTAATGAATAAAAAATAAAATATTGCCCTTCACCTTTTGTTATAAAGGAATTCATCATTTACAGTATATTTTTAGCTCCCACACCCTAAATCTAAGTTGAACCACCAAGATATTTTCCTTTCCCATTAGTCTGTTACTGCTATTCCCACACAAACATTCAAAATCTTAATCTGTCTTTAAAACCCTTTATATATACTTGTTTTCAAAAATGGACATAACTTTGTCTACCTCCAATATTTATATTCTGTGCCAAAATAATGGGGGCCTCTTGACAGAAATCAAAATGTAAGCACTGTAAGATTAAAATTTCAATGTGAGATCTGTAAAGATTCCAATTCTAGAAAAATAAAACTGAAGCTTTGTTTGGCACTTACCAATCTTCAGGGAATATACAACTTAAAGAAAAATCCAACTTTTCAAAACCATAGTACAACAAAGCACCAACTTATCAGGGGGTTTTTTGGTGGGGTTTTGTGTGTGTTTTTTAAGTAGAGCAGAGACCTGACTACGGAAGTATGTTTGGAATAGACACCAAGAGGCTGAGGCAAAAAGTCTGAAGCGAGGTTTCCCAGCACAAGATTCCTTTTATACTTCCTTCTCAAGACAACTCAAAATGATATGCATCCATGTGATGCCCAACTAAGCTGGATATACAAAGTTACAGTGTGCCTTCCTTAATGTTCCTGAACATAGTTTTTTAAAGATTTTGTGAAATAAGTTATTTCTGAACTCACGTTAATCGAACCATCAGCCCCCACCAGCCAAGGTGGATGGAAAAATCCTATGAAGAGGATTCCTACCCCATAACTCATCTATACTAAACTAATGGTAGTTTCTGCTTCTTCATAGTTAACCTTAACTTTCCAAAATAGGGTTAAAGCATCAACTTTAAAATAGTTTTTATCTTACTTAAATCATAGACAGTACTGCAAAAAATATGATTATAATGCTTTCCACGTCTTAAGACTTTTTAATATGAAAGCTTTAAATTAGATGGTGAATAAATGCCTACCTATTGCACAGGAAACTTCATAAAATTGAAAATAGCACCTAAGAAAAAATAATCTACTGTACTTCCCAATTAAATCAGTTTACCAAAGAGCTTTCTACATTCATCAGCATTCCTTTCTAAATCAGAGTGCACACCTACTCTTCATAACTGAAGATGGAGAAGTTCTAAATGTCATTTTAATAAGAGCTATCCTTAGTATTACCTTAAAATATTGATCACTACCTCCAAAAGGGGGGAAATGTTACCCCTCTGAAGTCAGTGTACCGCTTGCATACATTCTATATAGCACATAGAATGAGGTCTCCTCATCTTTACAATACTCGGTTCTACTTCCCCTCCAACCCTTAAGCAATTATTTATTAACCTATAATATTCATGCACAGCACCAAGGCTTGACAGTCACAAAAATAAATAGCACATTGAAAAGACAAGTAATTTCATCTTGATCATTTAAATAAATTCATTTTAGCCAGTTTTGTATTTAGAGAACTTGATCACATATATGAACTCTCTCTACAGACATGTGCAGCTCGCTCTGCTTCTCTATTATAGTTTATCAAACACTCCAGTAAAATCAAGGTTAGACCAAAACTAAACCCCATGAGGCAGAGATTTTAATAAGAAAATGACTTGCCTGCTTCAAAATTATCCTGAAGTTTTCGTGGATGAAGTTTTTTTTCACATTTCTATAAAAAAAAACCATAAACACATAATATACCATTTCCAGTTATTTCACTTAATATAAATGAGGAGATACCTACTTTTAAAATGAAATATACTATGAACATACTTATTTAAATGCAAATCTATACCGTCATTTTTAATGACTACATAGTAGTCTATTGCACGGATCTACAATATTGCATTTAATATTACCTTCTTGGATATTTACATAGTTTCCAGGTTTTCATTATTTAAAAGAATACTGGGTTGAATATTCTTTAAATTTCTCTTCTATCTAGCGAATCAAGGTAAGAACTTTTTTCATGCTTTCAATATAGCCAAAAAACTCTAGAAAGTTGTACCTATCAGTAATTTTTTCTTTTTTAAATATATCTTTATTGGTTTTGGAGAGAGGAAAGGAGAGAGAGATAGAAACATCAATGATGAGAGAGTCATTGATCGGCTGCCTCCTGCATGCCCACAACTGGGGATTGAACCTGCAACCCGGGCATGTGCCCTGACCAGGAATCAAACCCTGATCGCCTGGATCCTAGGTCGACGCTCAACTGCTGAGCCACACCTGGCTGGGCCCTCTCAGTAATTTTTAAGTGTTGTCAATACGCTCAATAATACACAACTGGGTATCTTTGCCAATCTGACAGGAAAAAGTATAATAATAAAAAAGGAGAAGTAGTCTAACAGTAAACTGATTTTTAACATGTCTTTGCTAGTGAATTCAGTAAGCCCGCTGTTAGGTCAGCACCTAAAGAATTCAGGTAGCCCGGCCGGGCGTGGCTCAGCGGTTGAACGTTGACCTAGGATCCAGGCGATCGGGGTTCGATTCCCGATCAGGGCAATCAATGACTCTCTCATCATTGATGTTTCTATCTATCTCTCTCCCTCTCCTTTCCTCTCTCTGAAATCAATAAAGATATATTAAAAAAAAAAAAAAAAAGAATTCAGGTCAAATATTTTTGCTAAAAACTTAAAATTATAATGCTCACTCACTGTTAAAGCAAGAAAAATAAGTGAGGCTACAGTAAAATAATTCAACATACAAATAACTGGACTTACAGAAAAGATAAGCAAGACCATTAGTTATGCATTACTTTCTGGAGCACAGACTAAAAGAATGGAAGTAAATGCCTTAAAATGCTAACAGTTATTTGTCTTTAGGGCTAATCCAATTACAAAATACTTGCTGTATTTTGTTAATTTTTAATTTTTTAAATTCTGTCAACTTGAAGGAAAAAAATACATTGTGATGTTCTTTCAAACTTTTAACTTCATTAAAATAACATAGACTCTATTCAGAAGAACACAGAATAGCCAAAGACTTGCTCTAATAAGCAAGATTGAGTACACATTGTTTTCACACTATTATAATTAAATAAGCACATAAAAAAAAATTAAGCATTAGATATGTAACTGAATCAATGTTACAAACCCATAAATTCAAAGTAGCCCAAAGATTTTTAGCAGGCAAACTGCATGCACAATTTCACTCCATAAAAATCCTATCAATTTGATGTGCCTTGACAATGACTTTGCCCCACTCTTAAAAGGGGTGAGCTCTCTTATTAGCGTGAAGTAACTCTTACCATCAAGGAATTCTGCTGCTTCGCTGGCTGGCTGTGGACCCCATTTGTTCTTTTCTTTTGATTAGGTGAATCTTGATACTGTTTTCTGCCATTTCCCCTCATATTTTGATTCTGTTTTTGCAATAAGAAATAAATAAAACATAAATCTATAATACAATGTAATAGGACAAATAATATATCCCTATGAATATGATAAGCTGGTTGAATCAGAGTTTAGCAAACCCCCTCACCCCAAAAATCTTCCTAAAACATTGGGGGAAAGGTACCATATCGGTATTTTTTCTTATAGAAGGTAGTGTGTCACAAAGCAAGGTCTCTCTCTCTCTTTTTATTTTTTATTTATTATTTATTTTTAAATATATTTTTATTGATTTTAGAGAGAGGAAGGGAGGGGGGGAGGGAGAGAGAGA